AACACTCAAACATTCCAGGCCAAGTTGCTCCTGGCCTTTTGACCTTTAACTGATCTCACCTGAAGATGTCTATATTCCTAGTCTAGTATCTTTACCCTAGAGAATTAGTGTGACCTTGACTTTGCATAATGCTGAACAGAGAGTTTCAATAGGGACTTTACACTGTTACATTGCTCTGACTGTAAATACATTGCCTTGCTTTTTCTGGAGGCCCTCACCCCACTCTGTCTAAGCCCCTGGTCCCTGTCTCGAAGTGCTCCTCCTCGCTGAGGCTGCCTGCACTCCCCTTCTTTGACTGTGTACTTTGCCTTAAATAAAGACTTCTTCCTGCTCAACTTGCTGCATTTTGTCTCTGCACTCATCCAAGACTCTTGGGAGATTAATAAGCAACCCCTTTAACCAGTGCTAAGCATCTTTGTTACTTCACCATTTCATTCAGTTTTCTAGACATAAGCATTAGTCTTCTCTCTCTGTTTTACTTCAGTCAAGCAGGGAAGGGCTACTAAGATCTTGATTTGGGCTTGCAAGTTCCCATCGCCTGGGTGACCCAGACAGGACTGCAGCCGTATTATCATGCTCTTTAGTAGCCTGCCCCCAAATGTCCTTTCTTTGCTTTGGGTAAGTTCTCAGAACATAATCTCTGAGGCTCCCCCCAATCCTGGGGTGGTAGGGGCTTAGTATCCATGCCATGCAGATTTAAACAAACGTTGGATGCCAGGAGTTGGCAAGGGATTTGCCCTGTGCCCAGCAGGAGTTCAACAAACTTTCCTTCCCTCCTTCATTTCTACCTTTCTCTCTACTGCCTGAATAGCTTCTGCCATTCACTACCATTCTCACTTAAATGAATTCCTTCTTTACCTATAGTGGTCTGACCTCGTTGAGAGCTATTTCTGTCCAGGCTGAGGTTTCACCTAGTATGCAGGAAGAGACCTACCCAGATGCAGCTGCCCGGCAATACAACAACCCCGTTGGAGGCGTTTGTGGAATTAATGGGATTAATACATAAATCAAGTAATGTAGAAATCAAATGTACAAATATATATGACTTGATTGTTTTTCCTCCAACTCTTGATGTGTGATCAAAAACAGAATGATTAGAGCCAAAACAGTTCCTACAACTCGTGACTGCCCTCGCATCGTTTTGGTATCCTTGAGGAGCCTCACACCCTAGGGCTAGACTCAAGGTCAGATAATGATTGTGTGTTGATCACGTGTTGAACCTCCTACTCAGAATTCTTTAGATGTTTAAGTTCATTTGCTCAATAAATATGAGGAGTGCCTTTTCAGTGTTACTCTTGTGCTGTGACACCTTGAGTCCCCTGGCTGGCCTTTCAGACCTTCAGCATTCTGTCGCCTTCCCTCCAAATCTGCGGGTCAGAGGGATGGGGGAGCCGAGAGGCATTCCATCTTCCCCACTTCAGACTTCTAACCAGATATGTGCATAGCCTCCCCACACACCAAAAGTCCCTACTCGAATAGTAAACACTTGGTCTTACTGTGTCTGCCCCAGAAGGTAGTGAAGTCTCAGGTTGTTTGAAATAACAGCCCCTCACTTTCAGCACCCACACCATTCCCCTCTCATGTAACGGGAATAACTGGTTGCACTCCAGTTCTCTTTCCTTATCCAAGAAATCTTCCTCTGAGGAGCCAGTCAAGACTTACTTGCCTATAGAGCCTTTGAAGCTTAAACAGAAAAAGCTTTTAGTTTCCTTAACCAAGCATCCTAGCAACTTTTCAGGAACATTAACAATTAGAAAGTGGCCGATGTCAGATGCCTGACATATGTTAAGTCCTTGCAATTCCACAGGGACTGTTATGTGTAAAATGAAAATAATGATGGTACTTTTAGAGTAGTTACGAAGATCAAATAATATCTGGCACATAGCGGGAGGTCAATAATTAATGTCGAATTGATGAATGAATTGATAACCTGAGAGCTATGCAAGACCTAATAATGGATAAATCCCACAAGTGACTGTCTCTCATCTGCTGACCAGCGACTCACCATCTTGCTAGATGCCAATAGATTGAAATTTCTTCCTCCTTTAATTCAAACTTACACCCTTCCAACTTCTACCCCTGGATCCAGGCTCAGCTTGAAGGAGTCACACGATACAGAATCAGATACCTGGGCTCCATTTTCTTTACTCCACAACACCTAGTTTCTTCTTGGGGTGGGCTCCCACAGGTAGCTAGGAAAATTGATGCCCTTGCACACACACACTCACTGTGAAAACAAAAAATCTCAGAAACATTAAACTCCTGCCAAAGTTTTATTCCAGATTTGCAGGACAAAAGACCGCAAAAGGAAAATGCATGTTCAAAAAACCAATCTTAGGAAAAGGCTCTTTTAGAAATAGAAAGGAGTATCTAGGTAAGTGAATCTCAAACGTTAGCTGCTTTAGAATCTCACTTGGGGAGGCTTGATAAAACACCTACTGCTGGAAGACTCACAGACTCCAAGAGACTAGTGCTTACCAAAGGGGAGGGATGGGGGAGAGTACATAGGGAGGGAGGGAGAAGGGGATTGTGGGGTATCATGATAGGCGCACGTGGTGTGTGTGGGGTCACGGGGAAGATAGTGTAGCTCAGAGAAGACAAATAGGGACTCTGTGGCATCTTACTACACTGATGGACAGTGACTCCAATGAGGTACGGAGGGGATTCAATAATAAGGATGAATGTAATAACCCTATGGATGAACGTAATAACCATATTGTTTTTCTGGTGAAACCTTCATAAGAGTGTATATCAATGATACCTTAATTTTAAAAAACGGACAGAAGAGGTATAGTGATTGCAAACAAACAAAAAAAAAACACCTACTGCTGGAAGCCAGAGTAACCGATTTTGTAAGTCTTGGGTGGGGTCCAGAATTTGCATTTCTAACTAGATACCAGATGAAGATGAGACTAGTGGTTGGAGGACCTTTCTTTGGAGACTCCTGGTTTAGAGTCCAAGTAAAGTTGCGTAGGTGTACAATTAATTTCACAAAGCAGTAAAGCTGCCACGCCTTCACCCACTAGCCAAGTAACCCTTGGTTGTGCCAAGCGGGGTGCCCAGGCTGCCCCTCTAATTAGAACTGCGGAGCAACGCGGTTCCCTTCGCGGTGGAGGGTAGACGGGGGTCATTTGATCAAACAGCTGAGTTTCGCTTTCAAAATTGGGATGCTTTGGGATGAAGTTGTCTTTCTGGCTCCGCCGACTGCTTTCTGACACCAGCCCCCAAGGAAGTGCTCCCGCCGCGGCGCGCAGCAACCCGGGACGCGCCCGCGCGGGTCTCCAGGCCGCAGGCTACGCGCCGCGCACACGCAGGCCGCTCTCCGACGTCCACCCGGAAGGCATCCCGGAAGTGACCGCTCCTGGGGTGACTGGGAAGGAAGTGGCTTTCCCACACCTTTGCCCTTTAAATCCGTCTTCACCTGAGCTGACGTTAATAATGCCGGGTTACCCCGGGCAGGGGGTCCTAGAAATTTGACGTGAAGTGAAAAAAAAATATATATATATATAGCAAGCGGTCTGCCGAAACCCGGGATCGAACCAGGGACCTTTAGATCTTCAGTCTAACGCTCTCCCAACTGAGCTATTTCGGCTCCCGTCTGGGTTTTTCTAAAGTAATCTATCACTGCACTCCACGCGCCCGCCCGTTCCTCCCTCGGCCGGTAATCGTTTCAGGCCCTTCTTCTTTATCATATTGACTAATTACGACGGAGTTCTTCCGTTTTGCTCCTTACAAGCCGTGATGCGGTGCGCTGTTCACCTTACTTTCTTCGGGATAATCCGGGCTTCTGACCTGACCACCACCAGCAGGGATGACGAACGTGCGCGCGTGCGGGCCGCCGGATGGGCCGTGGGGCTGCCGCGGGCCCTGCGGCCGGCCGAGCTGGGGTGTCGGGGCCGCGACCCCGCCCCGCGCTCGGCAGCTCCTCCGCCGGCGGGTCCCGGCCCCCGGGGCTGCTTGCCCCGTCCCCGCGCAGGCTGGTACCCGGGCGAGCCCCCCGCCCACGCCTCTGTCCTGGGGCGCACCCGTTTATCAGATGGGGATGGAGGTATGGACAAGGGCCCGGAGGCAGGACTGCAGCCTCCCTGTGATCCTGCCTCCAATGCGTGCCGTCAGCCTGCCTCCCCGCACGGCCTCCGCCAAAGCTGGGCGAGCTCCTGCAGGACCGTCATTTTGTCAGTAGCAAGTCCTACACCAGCAAGAAAATGTTTTTGAAGCATCTGCTCCGTACCCTGCACAGACATTCTGCAATGCCCTAACATCCTATTTTATATTTGTTTCTCTCCAATTACATTGTAATGCTCTGAAGGCAGGGATGGTTCTCGTACCGCCCTTTAGTCCGCTCCTTGGAGCTCTGCCTTTACGTGGAAGAGTCAGAGCTGATTTGGAGGGATAGGTGCGCACACGCATGCATTCGAATGTGAACGAAAAAGAAAAAAAAAAGGTATATTCGAAGTGCTTGCAATCTCTAAAACGGAGAGTCGATTTCTCGGATCCTTTGTTGTGCCACATCCAGATAACAGAAGAGCTTGAGATTTGGAAGTCATTGGCGGAGGAAGGGAAGGAGACTAAAGAGAGTTTGGGAATAGACATGGACTGTGAAGGCTTTGGGAGGCTTGGAGTGGAAGGAGAAATTTGGAGATGCGGAAAGAGGTCTTTTACAGGCGTTCTTGTATGTCACGAATATACCTACCTTTCACATTCTCCTCAAAACACTGCAGGAAAGATTTGAACCTGGGTGACTGGGAAAGGGGCAGGTAACTTTTGGTGGGATTTGGGGTCCGGGGAGGGAGGGAGAGAAGGTCCAGCGTCTGAGGGGAAATGGAGGGAAAAGGATAGAAATAAGAGACAGAAGAGCACAACCAATAAACTTCACCTTTCACAATTTAATGTGATAAGATTCTTTGCAAAATACAAGAAAATAAAGATATAACAGCGACTATTCATTGAGTAAAGGTGGATCTCAGAATATAAGTGTTGTAATGTGTGTCATGGGTTACCTGGTATCCAGATGCCCAGGACAGTCCTTGTTTACATTTCTTGTCCCAGAATCCTGTCACGGTAGCACTCCTTGTCCTCTTTAAAGTCTCCTAGAATGGCTGGAAAATAACAATGTGATCACCCAGTTTATAAACCGAAATAGAACATAATGCTACAAAATGAACTATACTAGCCTTCACCCTTATGAAAAGATTTTTAGCATCAACTCAACTTCTTGTTGCTGTTCTACAAAGAAGACTGGAAGTCTCTAGAACTCAGTGTCACAGTCTCTAAAGTGTACAGCCCAACACCCTGGAGTAATGCCGTAGAGAATATTCTACATTTTTGAGGGTGACCCAGTGATACTGGACATCTGTGGGACACTGCACAGATGACTAGATAGTTCATATTTCTGGAATAGATTGCTCCACATTTCTTTCAGTGATGTCACCTGCTCACGAAACTAGGTTTTTATCAATTGTGAGAAAAAGCAATTGCCTATGAAAATAAATATGTAACAGGAAAATAAGAGTTGTGCCCAATCTGCTCCAAGGCTTGAGAAATTGTGCTGGGGTACACATCCCATTGGTAAATAATGATGGTTGTTTAAGAATGAAGTATTCTAACCTTTCTTTTAATTGATTGTACAATTTTTTCCCTAACAGTTACAAAGTTGTTGGCCATAAATACTTAGTAAGTCGTTTGGGCATGAGTACTTAATAAAAAGAGCAGTTCAGTACTGCTTTTGGCCTGGGGGTACTGGAAAAAATTACTGAGACACTATGAGGATTATAAATGGAGAAAGTTGGGAAACTTCTACTTACTTCCTTAGTGTTGACTGCAAGAATAAAAATTATTCCTGAGCTTGGAAGAAAATCTGGCTTTGCTCAGTAGGATTGCAGAAGCAAGAATAACCATCAGGACTTCCACAGGACGAACGCTGGGGCTGAAGTGAAGTGCATACCTGGGCCCACACATTGCAGTAGGAGACAGATGACAAGGAAGTTGGTAGTCAAAGAGCGTAAGATGCTGAAGAGGATTCCATGTTGCAAAGAAGCTTTGCATGGGCTGCAGTTCTGTTTTCAAATTAGCTCAAAGATATTGGCCAACTCCAGTCTAATTACATATGATAACTATGAAAACTAATTATGAGAACTAAAAGACATCAGAGTCTTCTCACAATACAACCAAAGAGAGTATGTTGTATATGGCTATAGCACCTAATAAATTTTTAAATTGCTGTCAATTGATAATCTGTCCTTAACTTAGCTCTTGGGACCCCACAGCATACACACAAAAAATAGTGCTTGTTTTGATTTGCTTCTGATTTAAATCAATGTTTCTCCAAAGTGTTAAAAAGGTGGGAGTATATCAAAAGGTTATAGGAGCCAGTTTGATGGAGCTCCCGCTGACCAAAACTGGAACAATCCAAGCATAAAAGTAAATATGGAGAGTGATAGATTATTTATCCTTTGAATAAAATAAAAATTCATTAGTACAGTGATGGAGGGAGGAGACTGAGAGTTCTGGCTTTCAGGTGAATCGCTTGCATGGACTCATAAACGGGTGTTGGAGGAGAGTGGTGCCGTTGGACATCATCATTTTCCAAGCATCGACATAAACACTGGCTCAGTCAAGGATCACTAATGGTTGGTAAGGCTGGGAGAAAGCTCTATGATGAGCAGGACCATGGCACGGTCTCCAAGTATCTCTCCCGAAACGCTGGACAATTCCTTCATCTAGTCATCAAGATTAATTAACATCACCAATGAAGGACCCTCAGACTTGTGACTCCTAATGTGCTTCCCAGAAAAGGATACAACATCACTTACCTAGTGGTCCAGCCACAAGTGCATAACCTGACTTTAATCATGAGTCAACACTAAACAAATCCAAAATAAAGGTTTTCTAGTAAATGACTGGCCTGTCTTCCTTTGAATGGTTATGTTCAGGAAAGCCAAGCCAAGCCGAGGAAGTGTCCCAGATGGAAGGAGGCATGACAATAAGAAGCTGTATGTGATCCTGGACTGATTCCTCTTCAGGTGGGGAACTGCTTTACAGGATATTACTGGGACAATTGAAGAAATTGGAACATAGGCTATAGATAACAGAAAAGTGTCATATCAATGTTAAATTTCTTGAAGTTGGCAAAAACTTCCTGATAGGTAAGAAAAATCTTGTTTTTAGAAAATACATATGGAAGTATTAAGGTATAAAGAGATATCATGTCTGCAATCTACCCTCAAGCGGCTCAGAAAAATAATATGTGTCCAAATATATGGCGAGAAATAAAGTGTATGGAGAAAATATTAAAAGTTGGTGAATCTGGGTAGAAGATACATGGGACTTCTCTGAATCATTTTGTAGCTTTTCTGAAAATTGAAACCTCAGAATTAAACAAAGGGTTTTTTTTTTTGTGCTCTTCTTCTGGAGCCACACAATTTCAGTTAAAATAATCGTAATGCTACAGATGGATGAGAACTTATGGTAATTTAGCCTGATACACAAATTTTACATATCAGAAAATGGAGGCCCGGAAACACTATAAATAACTTGGTTAAAGTCACTGTCTTAGGCAGCTTGGGCTGCCAAAACAAAGTTCCATGGTTAGGATGGTTTAACTAACAGGTATTTACTATCTCACAGTTTGAAGGCTGGGAAGTCAAAGTTGAAGGTGCCAGTCAATTAGGTTCCTGGTGAGAGCTCTCTTCTGGGCTTGCACATGGCTCTTCTCTGTGTGCTCACATGGTCTTTTTTTGGTGTGTGTGCATGAAAAAGAAAGAGATCTCTCTCTTCCTCTTCTTATAAAGCCACCAATTATTCTGGATTAGGACCCCACACTCATGACCTTTTTGACCTTATTGTCTCCTAACGCCTTTTTTCCAAATAGTCATAATGGGTTAGGGCTTCAACATATGAACTGGTGTGTATGAGAGGGGATCAAGATTCAGTCCAAACCAGTCACAGAATTTGGTGCAGAACTGACTACTGTCCCATAAAGAATATGCTTCAGCTTGCACAAAATGCTCTTATATTTTTTTAAAAGAAAGATCCTATCTCAAATAAAAACTGGCATGAGAGTCTAAATCCCAAACTAGAATTTGAGTTTAGGGCTCAGCTTTTTCTTGACACTTTTTTTGGGGGCATGTTTATGCACTCTGAAGTTGTCTGTGTGTAGAAAAGAATACCAAAGTGATTTCTCCAAAGTTATATATTAAAGTCGTAATTTAGGGGGAGAAGTATAAAAGAGTTAATAGTTTGCAAATATCATCAATGTGCTGAGTTGATCCAAATAATGTACTTTTTTAAATCCATTAAACAACAAGTCAATAAAGACTTCATTGTTTTTTGTTTTTATTGAATCACATACATCGCTATAAGCCTCTGAGTATACTTACCAGGCCAGAAACAATTAAGTCAATTATACTCAAGAACAACCTACGAAGCTTTTCCTATATAACTAATCCAATCCTCCCACACCATCAAACAAATGTCTAACTAGCCATGTGGATTTTGCACAATGCCCTAAAGGCCAGAAAACTTGGATTCCATACTTTCAGTTTTAGAGGCCCTCTTTAAATACTGTCAGCTTAATTGCTTGTCTTTCTTTTTTGATGAAGTAGCCCAGCACCCCAGCTACATCCCTGCCCCATCTTCCCACGCCACCCCTATTCAACAATTAGGGGATGAGGCCTGATAATTCACCCAAAGAAGTAGGACAAAATAACACTAACACAGTATTTTCCTAAATTCTTTGATAATTAAAACAAACAAACAAGAAATAAATCAGTCTCTTCCTTTGCACCAGTGAAGATGCACAAGATGGAGTTAAATGACCAGAGGCTCAAAAAGGGAGCCTGGGACCCTGAAGCCCCTGTGCTATTTGGCCCTGACGCCCGTCCAAACTTCCAGGTGCCCCTGTCTTTGCTCTCCACAGCCTTCACCCACATCTCTGGTCCTGTTGTTTTATATCTTATACCCCCAATTACATGCCTACCCCTGGCCAATCTTGATACACCTCACTTCACTCAGGAGCCTTGATGACGAGTGAGCTCTTCACTATGATTTCTCCCTGTCTTCCTTGCACACAGGGGCCAGATTTTCTAGAGCACTTTTTGTAGATGGGTGGGATGTGGTGAGAGGAAGGGACAATGGAGCTTTACTGTTTCCTGTGGGCTGGATGTCGGCAGGACTCAGCAGTGTGATGGAGAAGCTTCCCCACACCCAGGCCCCTCTGTCCTGCATTTGGAGCTGCCAGGCCACATTTCCAGGGCTCTCCTAAATTAGGGGACAGAAGGCAGGGCCCAGACCCCACATTGCACCACTTAGCTATCCAGCCCACTGTCATCATTAGCAATTAGAAAAGTTGACTATACCCACTTTTCCCCCACCACCAAAGGCTGCATGTGACTCAGAGGGGGCTGCAGCTCCACTCATTCTTCCCCATGGCCTCCCATTGGTAGTGCAGGGTCCACTTCTTCCCTGATGGCAGGAGGGAACCTGTCATACCACAGACTAGGTAGTGGCCTATTCAGACTACACATGTTGCCTTCCTAAAAATGATTAGATGGATGACTGGATAAGGAGGAATGCTTTGACTTGGGGACAACAGATGCTTCCCTGCTTGTTTTATAAGGAAGGCAAGAAGTAAAATCAAAGTATTGTTCCTTGTCTCAACAATAAGTAAACACTGACATTCAATCACATCAGTGCCTCTCTAATATTTGCAGAATGACTGCCCATCAGCTGAGACCATAGTTTCTACTCCAAGTGTGAGTTGATGAAAGTCCACATAGGTTAATGATTCCCAGTGTCACACAGTTATTTGGTGACAGAGGTGGGTCCAGAACTCAGATCTAAGCTCCCAGGCCAGAGCTGTCATACTGAACTATGCTTGCCCCATATTAGACCAGTCTTTTCCAAAATACAGCAGTTCATTTAAATCAATGATCCACATGCACTTTGGGGACATCAGATTTAGAGACAAACTGTCTCCTTGACCTTACCCAACGCTGAGTCTTCCTGCTTACAGCAACCTGGCTCATTCCCCCAACACAGGAAGAAACTTTATGCCAACATTGTTCTGAGCATCTAGAGGTCTGGTTGCTTTCAATTCACTCTGTCCTAGTGAAAATCTGGGTTCAGAAAAGGAGCTGCTGGAAATCATTCCTACTTCAGGGTAAATAAAAGTCCTTCAGTCCATTTTTATGGACCTTGGTAGTGTACTATGACGTGCATAGTATCGCCTATGAGGCCTTTTGCCAAAAAATGTTTGACCTGAAACTACTCAAGTAGTTTATATTTTTATAATAAAAGTTTGGAAAAACTACTTCTGAATTTTAATGCTATTTTTCATTAAAGCTTAAAGAACTCTACTCCTCATTAATGGGATTTTAGACATCAGAAAGTAACTAGGGATATATTTTGCAAGAGCAGAGGGGCCCTTCCCCAAATCCATAATCAGTCTAAGTAGTTCTTTTGTCTGTCTATTGCTAAGGGTTGTCCTGTATATACCAGGACCATATTTTTGGAATCACCAAATCAGGACATGTGGTCTGACAAGGACTTTTTCTCTTCTACTTTGACTCACATGAAAGCTTTACAAAGGCATAAAAGTCAAACCATGTGTAGATGTGAATGTTTTTGAGTATTTAATATATAATGAATCACCTTTCTTGAAAAAATAGCACAATGGAATGAAATTATGGTGTTTCGAGAGGATTTGGAACACAGTTTCCACCCCTTGTAGTCAGCTCCAATGTGATTTGCAGCAAAATCATTCTTTAACTCTACAAGGTCAATTTAATAATCTATCATGACATATGCTAGGGATAAAACTGTCTTCCTTGTCCTTTATTCTTAACTTTCAACTCCCTTTTTGAATCAGGCTTTCAGTTTTGACCTTCACAATTACTAAGGAAAATCAGATTGTAGTAATTAGAACACTGCAGAAACATCATCTAAAACTATAGTTTGATTAGTCCATTAACTGAAGGAGCCAGAATTTCAACTCTTGAGAATTTTAAACTGATTTAATTTTAGCTCTGTGGTACACTGTTCTTTTTTATGATTGCTAAAATATTTGTGGAGTCAGAGGTAGCATACTTATTTAGAATGTTACCAGGACAAAAGAAAAACCTGCAGAGCAGCAGGTTAATTTAAGGGAAATGGTTATTTTCTAAAGATTAACACATGGAAGTTTCACTTGATATGTTAACATCCAAATAGCTAGAATGAACACTTTGGAGGCATTTTTGTGGGCAAAGAAAAATTGCTTCATATTTTCACTTAAATCTGTTCTATTTTTAAAAATGTGAAGGTCAAAATTCCAGAAACATTCATCAAAGTTTAAAATTTGCCGGAAAAAGAAAGATGTTTCTCAAGGGCTTATTTGGCCTATTTTATTTCATAGTTCCCATCTCTGTAAATTTCATTGTTTTAATCTGAAAATGTGCTTTCCTTCTCTCCAGACCAGATAGTTAATTCTGACAATTATGTTCAGATTTCCTCCTTGGAACAATGTTTTCATTCCAAGTCAATAGAAAAAAAAAAACTGAGCAAAGTGTAGAACTTACTAGACAGTTGATTGGAGGGTTTTCCATCAGTTTAGAGACCACGAATTAGAATTGCTTCTTTTACTCCTTAAATCTGACCAAATTAAGTTGGGATGATGAAAAGGGAGCTTCCCACTTTCTGCATTTAGGGTAGAAAGACTATGTTGGTAAAATAGATTATTTTCCACAGTTGGGTAAACTCGTTTTTTGAGTGTGTCAGTTAGAACATAAATGCGTTAGCTATAAACACAGCTATATTAGAAATACTGTTAAAGCTAAGAAAAGATCGAAGAACTATGATTCAAAGATACAAGTTTCTACAATGAAGGAAAGTGGGGACTAAAGATCAGTTCATCTAAATGACAATGCAATAATAAGCAAAATCAGTAGCAAACATAGCGCTTGCAAAGCTGGTTTACCTTTGAAAGTGTGGGGTTCAAGGAAAAGGTGATCTTTAATGCATGTGAAAAAGCAAGGGGTTTTGTCTGGAGTGAGGATGGAGAGCAGATGTGTGTGTGTGTGTGTGTGTGTGTGTGTGTGTACAGACAAGCAGAGAGAACCCGAGAGAGAACACAACAAGAACCGTGTGTGTGTGTGTGTGTGTGTGTGTGTGTGTACAGACAAGCAGAGAGAACCCGAGAGAGAACACAGCAACAAGAGCAACAAGAACCTGCTCCTTTAAAGCCCTACAAAAGCATAGTGATGCTGAGTGTCCAGGTCCTGGGATACAGAGATGACTACACTCCCAGGACCAGGCCAGGGGCCCTTGAACCTGTCAACAGATGAACCAAGTGTGGTCATCACATGGAGCGTAGTCCTCAACACCGCAGGTGAGGCCAACTTCGGTGAGCAGGTGACTCTAGGTGGGGTTTTGAAGGTTGACCAGTTCCTCAAAGAAGAGGAAGGTGCACTTCTGACAGGGTGGACAGCTGCACAGAGGCACGGGGCCTTCAAAGGGCCTGGAAGGGCCGGGCATCATGAGGCCTGTGAAGGCAGCTGTGGAGGCAGCAGCAAGGAAGGAGGGAGGCTGGGCGCACATTGCCTTTGGCATTTGGAGCATTGGCTATGGGGAACCAGAATACATTTTCTACACCAGGGAGTGGTTTGACTCATGAAAATACAAGTCTGGCTGTTACCAGCTGAGATGCTGTTTTTCCCAGGATCGTTTCTTGGAGGTGATGAAGAATGAAGCCAGCAGACAAGAGTATGGAGCAACCAGCAAAGTTTAATGAAAGAGTGAAAGAAGAAAGAAAAGCTCCCCCTTATCAGGAAGGAGGGCCCAAGGGAGGAGGCCAATAGAGCTGCGGTGTCTAGGGTTTATAAGCACAGAAACGGAGTAAACCACACAAGCGGCTGGGAGTTGTTGCTAGGGCCTGTTGCTATAGCTGAGCTCAGATCAAAGGAAAAGAAAAACTGCCTGTTTTCTCAGGCTGATTTTCCCAGATGTCCAGGATGAGGCTTCTTGTTCACTGCGAAGCCTTGACCCTGGCTGACTTACCAGGGCTTTGAGCTCCATCAGCCTGCATCTCACTAACACTTGCCTCTTGGGGACACAGGAAGGAAAGGTCTGAGTGGAAAGAGTCCAGGGGCAGGAATCTGGGCAGGGAGGGTGTGACAATAAGTGCTGAGGCAGAGGCAGTACCGTGGAAGAAGAGGTGCTGGAATCCAGAGACGGCTAAGGAGGAACCTGCGGGATTTAGAGACTAGACAGGGGTGGTGAAAGAAAGGCCAGTGATGGCATCAAAGTTGCTGGCTTTGAAAAGGGTGGGTGATGGTTTTTGAGGGATTTCCTGGAATCCAGAGGAGCCAGTTCAGGGTGCAATAGGCACTCAGTGCATAGAATCTGGAAAAATAAGGTAATGCTGGGAAAACGAAATGTGAGTATCATGGCTATCACGAGGATGGCAGTTTAGGGAAGAGGAATGAACGAGACACTGGGCGGTCAGGTGAGTGAGGAGGCCCAGGAAGGAAGGAAGGCTGGGAATCTTAATTTTAGGGCAGTGGTTCTCAATGGGGGTGAACTTTGCTCCCCATAAGACTCTCTGGAGGCATTTCTGGATGTCACAACTAGGAGAGAAGTTAGAGGCCACAGATGCTGTTAAACCTTCCGCAATGCACAGGACAGCCCCCCATAACAAGGAATTATCCAGCCCCAAATGGCAATTTAGCCAGCAAGAAGTTGGGGGGCAGGTAAGATGGGAGAGGTTGGTGCCAATAAAGGCAAAGAAAGAAAATGTTTTAACAAATGGGATGTGAACAGGGCCAAGTGCTGCCTGGGAATGAGGAAGAAAACTGGTCTTTGAAAAGCTTTTGCAGTTAGAAGGTTATGAGTGACAATGGTGAAAACACACTCAGCAAAGTAATGGGGTGGAAACCAGGTTATAATAGGGTACTGAGACCCGGGACACTGATGGGGAGTCTTTCTCAAGAGTTTGTGGGTGAATAGAAGAGGGAAACCAGAGAGGAGGCAAGGAACAATTTTTTATTTAGAGCAAAGATCCTGTTTCCTCTATTATTTTTTATTTTTTAAGGTATCACTGATACATACTCTTATGAAGGTTTCACATGAAAAACATTGTGGTTGCTACATTCACCCACATTACCCAGTTCCCCCCTCCATACTCCACTGCAGTCACTGTTCATTAGTGTAGTAAGATGCCAGAGGGTCCAATCATAATACCCCTTAATCCCCTTCTCTCTCCTTCCTCCCCTCACTCTACCTTCCCCTCCCCTTTGGTAACTGCTAGTCCCTTCCTGGAGTCTGTGAGTCTGCTGCTGTTTTGTTCCTTCAGTTCTGCTTCATTGTTATACTCCACAAATGAGGGAAATCATTTGATACCTGTCTTTTTCTGCCTAGCTTATTTCACTGAGCATAATACTCTCTAGCTCCATCCATGTTGTTACAAATGGTAGGATGTTTTCTTTTTATGGCTGAATAATATTCCATTGTGTATATGTACCACATCTTCTTTATCCATTCATCTACTGATGGACACTTAGATTGCTTCCTTATCTTGGCTATCGTAAGTAGTGCTACAATAAACATAGGAGTGCATATATTTTTTTGAATCTGAGATCTTGCTTTCTTTGGGTAAATTTCTAGGAGTGGAATTCCTGGGTCAAATGGTATTTCTATTTTTATTCTTTGAGGAACCTACATATTACTTTCCACAATGGTTGAACTAATTTACATTCCCACCAGCAGTGTTCCTGTTTCCTCTATTTTTCCTGTAAAATGAAAGCTATCATTTACTGAGCACTTATTATTAATGCACTAGGCAGTGGCTGAATGCTCTTCATACACCATCTTATTTTAAATTCACAGTAACTACTATTTCCATTTTACAAAAAAGGATACTGATCCCCAGTTGAAGAAATGCACTAAAGATCAGAGGCAAGAAGTGGGCTTTGAACTTGGAAGTGTTGGGTGTCTCTCCTAAATTTGTTGACCAGCCCCAGTCTGAGTCAATCCGGAGGCCGCCACCATGTCATGTCATTACTATAAACTCAAGAGTTATCAAATGGGGCTCCTATTACTCAGGAAATTCCAAGGGTTTAAGGAGTTGTCCTAGGAGCCTGGGATGAAGACTGAATATATTTTGTGTAGCACTTTCCATGACCTTGCATCCTCTGTACAGCTGGCCCTACCTCTATTCTGTTCAGCTCTTTGAAAAGCCGGTCTAAATTCCACTTCTCCCTTCCTTGATCCCTAATCACTACTCAATCTACATTACCCACTCTCCCTTTCCCCCACACTCCACTAAAATAACTACAAAATTTGCCTGCATGTTGCCATAATCGACACTTTGTAATGTCTTTGTCTTACTGAACCTCAGCTGGCTGCCTGCTTGTTACTGAATGTCCATCCCTTTGGCTTCTGTGGCTTTATTTCCCCATTCTCTTCCACTCCTCTAACCATGTTTTTTCTCACCATTCCTTGTCTCCCGGCTCCTCTGCCTGCAGCTCACACCTTCATGTTTCTCTTGGCTTGTCTGTGAATCTCGCTGCAGCATCAACCATATCATTTTGTGGGCTCTCCCTGGGGGGATTTAATCTACTTTCAGGGTTTTAATAGCTATTTAACTCCTAAATGTGTATCTGTAGATCTCTAACCCTGCCCATCAGTTTGAGCTGAAGATTTCATATGTCTGTGAGATTTAATGTCCACCTGGACATTAGTATAGCACCTCCCAAATGAATTTACCATTCTCCACTCTTTCCAATTCAACACACAACTCAAGAAAGTGCACCTCCCACATATAATCAGTCAAGCCTTTAAATCTAAAGTGTCCTCACCCGTTCCTAATGCTACCCCTGCTTTAGGACTTATCACCAGCCTGATTTACAGGAACAGCTCATAATGTGGATCCCTACAAGATTTCCATCTGCTTTCAGTGAAGTCATCTTCCATACTGTTGCCACACTAAGCTATCAAAACCTAATTTTGCAGTCGGTAAAAATGGCAAAAGATCTCATGACATGTAAAAACACTTGTAATATATTGCTTAGTGCAAAAAAGCAGACTCTCAAACAGTATGACCATTATGATCCCATATACAGTTTTTTAAAATGTGTACATATGACCCCAAAAATGAAATGAAGAACACACAACTAAATATTAACAGGAGTTATCTTCCAGTGGTAGATCATGGATGGTATTTTTTATTGGCCTAGTTTTCCAAGCTTTCTGCAATGAACACATATTATTTTTGAAGTCAGCAAAGACATAAACCCCACCAATCTATGATGTCAATTTCTTCCTTAAAATCCGGAGCTAGCTCTCTGCTGGTGGGATGAGAACCAAGAATGTTTTCATGGCACACAATGACCTGGCAACCCCATTCCTCTCTATGTTTTAGAGCGGTGGTTCTCAAACATTGGGGTGCCCACCCCCAGAGCTTATGATTCTGTAATTCTGGGGCAGAGCCCAGGAATCTGCATTTCTATCAAGTAATTTGGATGCTGTTGATCTGGGAACACATTTTTTGAAATTATTACTGTGGTGAAATATACACAACATAAAACCATGTTAACTACCTTAAGTGTACAGTCCAGTGGCTTTAAGGGCATTCACAATGTTGTGCTACATCACCATTATGCATTTTCATAATTTTTTCATCATCCCAAGCACAAACTCCATAACCATTAAATATGAATTCCCACTTTCCCCCTCCACCCCTCCCCTGGAAGACTTGTTCTACTTTCTGTGTCTATGAATTTACCTACTCCAGGTACCTCATATAAGTGGAATCATAGCATTCCATTGTTTGTATACAATAATCATATAATTGTATACACCACATCTTGTTGATCCATGGATCTATGGATGCACATTTGGGTTGTTTCCACCTTCTGGCTACCGTGAATAATGCTGCTATGAACGTTGGTATACAAATATCTCAGTTCCTGACTTCAATTCTTTTAGGTATATACCTAAAAGTGGAATTGCTCATTCATATGGTAATTCTACGTTTGACTTTTTGAGGACACACCATACTGTTTTCCACAGTGTCTGCCCCATTTGTATTCCCACCATCCATGTATGAGAGTTCCTGTTGTTCCACATCCTCATTAGCATCTGATATTGTCACTGTTCTAGGTGTATAATGGTATGGCATTGTTTTAATTTGTATTTCTCTGATGATACATGATGTGGAACATTAATTTCTCTTAGACTTTTTAATTGTGTGCTTTTTTTAAACTGGTTTTTCATAATATGTTCTTAATGCCTCTCAAGGCCATCTCCTGAGATTAGATAAACAATAAAGATAAATCATCTTGAGTATATTAAAGTTTACACAAAATGTTTACACAAAATAAAAAGTTTACACAAAAATATGTAAAAATCAACTGACACACAGTATTTTGTCACCTACCCCCAGTCACCAAACTCCACCAGAGACCACTGGTTCTCAGTCAGTCCCGTGTGGGCTGTAACTGTGGGCTTCCTGAGCCCCCACCTCCGCTCCTTTGGGCCTACTCCTCCGCTCCTGGTCACAGGCCACCCACTGGAAGCTCCTTCTGCCCTACGGGGCTCAGACCAGCAAGCATGACGCAGCCCTGTCACACTCAGCTCCCCACCTGGCTTGTACTACGCCCAACTCTAGCTCAATCTAAATACTTTTACACATCTCAGAATTCTGAAATTAGAGTGCCCAACCGCACTTTGTGTTTCATTCCTATTTGGCAAATCCCTTACTGATTTTGGAGCTGCTTACTCTTTCCCCAATATCCACACCCTCAAGGTCCTCACTCCACTGTTAGACCCTCCCCTCAGCCGCCTCTGAGGTGACCACCTCACTTCCTACTCCCAGAGAAAACAAGCCCTCCCTCCCGCACTGCAGCCAGAAAGCTGGGCATGACCTTTGACAACTTCTTTTTCAAGGCAGTAAGTAGCTACTGAGTTACTTATTCAAGTCATTTTAAGTTGTTAGTTAAGGGAGAGAGGAATTAAATAATTCTAATTATAAATTAAATATAATCAAGTATTTAAAAACTTTTTCTACAGCAAAATAAAAACATGCATTACCGTTAAGAAAGCCACATTAAATACATTAAAATATGGATGATTTTATAAATAAAAGCATTTTAAACAGTAAAAACATGATACACGGTTACTTATATATAGGTCAACAACTGATTTTGAAAATATAAAGACTAAAGACGACATCCCTTTTTTTAAAAAAATTTAACTTAATTTTACAAAATAATCAAAAGTTAAAAAGTGCTACATATTATGCTCTCATTTTGTTCCATTTTTAAGGCAATTACAGCACATTAGACTGTTTAAAAAAATGAATTAGGACATAAGGCTCATCCTATATTGCCTAAAAATGAAAACTTGAAAGACTTTCTAGGCAATGGGATACGTTGGAAAGCTGCCCGAGTTCAATGTCAGGGGAGGCTGTCATCTGCTCAGAGCTATTTCCTGTTCTTGGTCTCAGAAAGTTTTCTCCTTCTGGCCCACTCCTATAGAAGAGTCTTTCTATGCCTATTGATTCCTAATTTTCAGGAGAAAAGATTTCTGAAAGAATTTTGATATTTAAATCCTTCATCAATACTGAAACTCTTCTAAAGGTTAAGGGATTTTGCATTTGAATTTTATATAAAAAGTCATGAATCTAATTTCAAATGAGAAGAACACTTCATTGGGTCACTTGATGTCATATCACTGGTCCAGGTAGGATAATTTTCTTCTTTCTCCAAAAACTGTCCTGACTCTACAAATGGTGATTGTACTGGAAAGGGTTCTAATGCCTTTTCTGCATTCTTCCAGTTGTGAAAATTCTCTCTGTACCACTCAACTGATAGGAAAAAACAGAAGACAAAAAGAAAAAGAAAACACTAAATACCAGTTAACCAACATTTACTGAGTTCCTGCTAAGAAAGTCTTTGCCCATCAGCTAATCACCTAATTTTACTTAGATTCTTAACCTAAGCAAGGATCAGTCTTGCCTAAGGGTTGCCTGATAAAAACTATTTGATTTTGAACTAACCAATTATGTTAATCAGAAGATATTTCATCACCTAAAAATTTAGATTTAAAAATCAACAATTTTTTTCTGTTTAATTTCTAAAGGCCTTTAATACTAAATGTGCTGGTATATGTGTTTAAGACATTGTGATTTAAGGAATTCAGGGGGAAAGTGGGAGAAGCCATTTACACTGGTTTTAAATTACAGGGAAAAAAAGTGTAATCTTGTTTATGTAAATGTAGCAATACTATATTGTAGGCATAGTGAGCTTCCTTCTGTTAATATGTAAAATAGTTTTATGTTGCTATACTATTAGTCAAGCTTTTTAGTTAAAAAGTAAATTATTTTTGAATCTGACTTTTAAAATTCAACACAAATATTCTTTCTGTAAGTCAAGCTTTGAATCAAGACTTTTTTTCTACATTTGGGTATATCTTTTCTCATGAATACATTTCTAAACAGCTTTAACATACATACACAGACTTTATATACATTTATTTTAATGGCTATTTCTTCACATACTAAATTTGTTTCCTTTTGTTTCAATATAAAAAAAAACAAGCTACCAGAAGACTGCAATTGACTATATTACATCAAATCTAAGATGCCACTGAACTTAAGATGGACCATTATTTTCCTTACTACTAAGGAAGAAAAAAGCTGCAAATAGTAATTACAGGACACTAATGATTGTAAAACACATACCTTTTAAGGATGTGAAAAAGTGAAAAAATGTGTACCTGAGAATGAAATAGGTATCTGATAAGTGCTCAAAGGAAGACTGATCAGAAGACTGATCTATGAAGTTCAAGATGCTAAGGAAATACATTACTATTGTTAGAAATAAAGGTAACAATTTGAAAAATGAAAACAATTTATCACAACATTCTGCTGAATTTGTAGGTGTTTTAAAAATAAATTATTATCCTGTAAATTTTTCTGAATCCTCTCCCAAAATGATCAATTCATAACATACTTGTTTTCTTTATTCCTTCTTCCCAAGGCACTTTAGGTCTCCATCCTAAACCATGTATTTTTTCTGACGTCATTGGATATCTCATATCATTGGTAGGTCTTGGAAAACAAAGCAGATTTAAAATGACATTGTGGATATATATGTATTTACATATTTGAGTATGAAGAGAAATAATGTATGTCTATGCATATTTACCATAATTCAAATTTTTCTTAAAAAAATTCTCCCTGAGGACACACTTGTTTTAGAAAATTTGTAAAATAAAAGTATACGTTTTTAAAAACCACATGTAATCCCAGATACCTAATCCTGTCTGTAGTTTATCTTTTTCTTATTTCAAACACAATCTACATATGAATGCAGCATATCACACAAAAATGTTTGGTGAATGAATAAATTAATGCACATAAACTTATTGGGACTCTAATGTCCCACACCCTGGATCAGGTACTTTATATGCATTATAATTAAATCTTAAAATACTTTCATAAGCAAGATATTATTATCCTTCTTTCATTTTTGAGGAAACTTTTGACTTCAAAAGGGTCATAACTCTCTATGAGTCACAGAGCTATTAAATAATATTATACTTTGTTCTTGTGACCTTTATAATTAGGAAAAAATATTTCAACAGAAAACTCAAAAGAGAGAAACTAGTTTCTCATCAAGTCCATATATATTATAATTTCATAAGCACCTAAGATTTCACAACCTTCCCCCAAATTTTAATATGTTACTCACCTATCATTAACATAATGAACCCAGTTTTCCATTTCAGACTCTGAACTGGTCTCTTTGATCTGTCAAAATGGAGAAGGCTTTTGAGTCAAATTATAAAATAAGACTAGAGAATAATAAAGGCAGTCAGTAGCTGATTCAAGAACAAAGTGGGGGAAACTGCTAAAATGAACAGCATTTTAGTAATACTTTCTGTACCTTGTAACCCAAATTCCATCTAATGCCCAGAAGAATACACATTGTATAAACTATGGGGGAAAATGAGTATTTTTGTCTTTCAGTTATTACTCAGTGTGATATTGTGATTTACAATAAGAAATACATATTTGGTCTTCATCCTTGTTCCTAGCATGGAGCTCCTGAAACCCCTGGAATTTCTAAGTGATAAGAGATAGAGGTGTCTTTTGCTATCATAATAAGTCCCTTTTAACCACACCAGAGTTTATGTTAATGAGTGATTTCTGGAAAGCCCCTAAGGATGGGGGCTGGTTGCCAGGGCTACCAACACATGATTACAGGGATGCAACTCAGCTCCCCTTCCCCACCTGTGGGAAGGGGCGAGCAGCTGAAGCTTGAATCAATCACCAGTGGCCAACAATTTAATCAATCAAGCCTGATTAATGAAGCCTCCACAAAAACCCCAAAGGACGGGGTTTGGAGAGCTTCTGGACCGCAGAAAACATGGAGGTGCTGGTGGGTGGGTGTGCACCCGGAGAGGCATGGACACTCCACACCCCTTCCCTCATACTTTGCCCTTTGAATCTCCTCCATCTGGATGTTCCTAATTTATATCCTTTGTAATAAACTGGTAATCTAGAAGCTAAACTGTTTTCTTGAGTTCTGTGAGCCACTTAAGCAAAATACTTATTTCCAAAGCACAGGTGGTACCCAGGTCCTGTAACTGGCTGGCATATGAAACAGGGCAACTTTGTGGGGCAGAGACCCTAACCTGTGAGATCTGATGCTCTCCCTGGTACATTATGTCAGAATTGAGTTAAATCATACGATATACTGTTATCTGAGAATTGTTCCGTGTAGAAAACGCACAGTACAGAAACATTCTGAGAGTAAAGGAAAACAAAAGTTTTTCCATACACTAAGTCTCCCTTTCTACTATATCCTGAGATTTATAATTGATGTTCACTCAGACATATACACACTCACAACTATAATTATTTCCATATCATTGTTCCTTGATTCTAGAACACACAGTTTTGTATTTCTGAAATGGAGGTATTTCTTATAATGGGTATGGACATTTAATGTATTAGGATTTTTTTCTGAAAACTGTTATTAGATGAGTGATACAATTTCAAATAATGACGATCTTAGCATATGTATGTATACATACTCACAAACTGCACTCTATACTCATTCACTTTTAGATTGAGTAAACTGTAAATTGGTGATTTTGACTAAATTAGTGATTATTGACTCTGAGTAACAACTTTGAAAACATTAACCCTTATGGTGTATACATACCAGTTGTATTAGTTCTTTGGCAAGCTGGAGAACTGACATTTCAAAACTGGTTCCAATGTTGTAAATTTCACCTGGTTTCCCCTTTTTGAGGACAGTGAGAAATGCTTCTACTACATCAGTAGCATAAAGGAAATTTCTTGTTTGAAGCCCTGATCCATGAATGCAGCTAAGAAGATTAAACGAAAAGGAATCATAAAATATAAGAAAGTAAACTCTCCCAAACCTGGGTAACGCACTGACCGGGTACAATCCCAGAGAAGCCAATTACCATGGAGATCTCAGAAATTTCTTACTGAAAACATAAACTCTGATGCCTTTTATAAATTTTATCCGTAATTCTTAAATGATCTCCAAACCTTCTGACAGTACTCACTAAGAAAGTGGCAAACCGAAAAATATTTATTCATTAATTTTAAACTTTACACTCATTTTGAAGAAATTGCTACTATTCTTTGTATTAAATAAATCCTTTGAAAAAGCAAAATTAGATAAAGACAGATGTTGAATTTTAATGGTATAACTCAAAAGTTCTAGGATACATCATTTAAGAGTTGAAATTATTTGGTAAGTAAATTACAAAGATGGATTATAAATATAACTATTTTAAAAACTATTACACTGACTGTAGAAGAATTCTTAAATTTGTTGGGACATTCAATTCTATGGCCTCCAACTCTAAAACATTATGATTTTCAAGACAGACTGTCACCAAATACTATCAATATATTCAATATATCAGAAACACACGTGGGTACAAAGGTAAATAACATACCATTTCCTGTTGTGTTGTAGTAAAGATATAAATTTTGGAATAACCTAAAAGAATATTTAAATATGATTTCAGACATTGGAAATTCACTCATTAATATGAACCTGAACTCATAAAAAAATGGAAAGATTACTACTGTTACGAAGTATTCATGTGGATAAATTCTAATTCTTCTTATCAGAAGTTCAAGAAAAAAACCATTACAATTTTGATAAGTACAAGAACTCTAAGCTTCCTATTTCACAAAAACAACTTATTGGCTAGGTAAATATGAAGAAAAAATGATACAAATAGTGGAAAAATTCAGAGAAAGTCTTCGTGAACAGTTTGGTTCCATCACAAAGCTCCCCTTTGTGCTGGTTTCGTAAGGCAGGAGCCGCACCTCACTGACTGCCTTATATACAGCGCCCACTCAGTAGGAGCTCGTGAAACCAATAAAAAGTAAACCCCAGTGCCACTGAATTCAAAGAAAAGTTAGGTTAAACTGGGTGAGATAAATTATGAAATTTATAATAAAACTGTTAAAGACACTTCAAAAATTAAGCAAAAGTAGATAATAATACCGGCAGATCATATGGCCCTTTCGTTTGGGCAAATAGACCAATGCACCAGCTGGGAAGTGAAAAAACCCCTCTAAATTTAGGGAGAGAAAGCCATAGTTACTTTAAAAAATTGGGCTTAATGGTACAGAACCAACTGCACAGGCATTTTCAGCTCTTTAACTCCATTTCTTTATTCACTACTTGTATTATTTCTGAAAGACATACAGGCCTGCAACAATAAAGAGGAATTGGGGAACAGTTAACCTGCTGACTGTAAGACAAATTTATGTACAAGCTTCCTGCATTGTTCTCTAATTAGCTTTTACATTTCTAGATGGCAAATGGAAGGAATCTTAACTAGCATGACAGCAGGGACGGGGGTACTCCGTACTCCCGTAGTGCTTTAGAATTCTGCAAAGTACAGGGCGTTCTCACCTAGGTCATCTCACCAGATTCCGCAAAATCCCTTCTGTATATTGATTTCCCCCTCAATTTAATGACGATGCTGAGTCATGCCTGCTGGTGAATATCAGGTTGAGACTTAAACTCAAGACCTGAAAACACCAAACCTGATGAGATCTGCACGTAGGCTAAATAATATTTATAGTTATGTATCATTACAGCATTAATCCTTTTGGACAAATAACTGAAGAATGATTACTTTAAATTATGAGAAATTACAATCTCTAAAACACACTATGAGTTCGTAAGTAAAATATACCTTTTCTGGATATTGATGTGGTCCATAAACATTACTGCTTCGTGTGATGACAACTGGAAACTTAAAGAGTATTCAGCATTAAGGTAATGAAAGGTCCAATAATAATGAGCATCTAAAGATAGCCGTTTTAAAGTAAGGGGGCTGTTGGCTAAGTAATTGCACACACCGTAAGGATAGAAATGAAGGGATTTTTTTTTTCTAATGTAAGGTTCTTGAAAAGACAGGAGAGGATGGGATTCAGATAAAAGCAGCAGTTCCAAAGGAAGAAGAGTAGTTTCTTTATTGGAAAAAGGGGAGGATGAACATAGACGGAGGCAGGTTAGTAAGTTCCATAGCAGAAAACTAAGGACATTTCCACCTCATTATTTTGAGACTGTCGCCAGGACTCTAAGGTTAGTTAAGTACTACTTCGTTCACACAATGTAGTAAACAGGTTTTTTAACTCCCTAATATATAACTTTTCTCAATCTATGTCTTCTACTCTAAAAGTGAAATGTTACTAATGCTAGCTGGGAGTTTTAACACGTAAGTCCAAAGAAAAATGACTGGAGAGTTCTTACCTTGTATCGTTCCCAGTAAGATTGCACAAAACACTCAGCAGCTGCTTTAGAGGATGCATAAGGATTTGTAGGTTGTTTGGGTGAAGATTCGTCAAATTCCTGATTTTAAAAAGAGATATTTTAAAAATGAGTATTATGCCTCCTTTCTCAGTAGAAAAATCAGAAAACATATTACAAACTTGAAATGCTAATCACTACATTAAAAAAAAACTGTTGTTGAACCCCAACTATGTGCCTAGCATTTTTCTAAGTATTTTATATATAGTAACTTCTTTAAACTTCACTACAACCCTGTAAAGGAAGAGAGAACAGCAAGCAGACAGGCCCTGAGACCAGAAGTGTGCCTGAGGCACTGCAAGGAGGTGTGTGAGGAAAGAGAAATGAGAGATGAGGTTGGACAGCGAGAGGGAGACCAGCACACACAGAACTTTGAAGGCCACCATAAAAGCACTAACAGGCTTTGAGCAGAGTGATGTCATGATCTGACATATTTTAAAAATCACTCTTGGCTGCTATATTGGACCTGATGTAGGACCTGATGACAAGGGTACAAGAAGAAAGAAGTTCACCTCGTAGAAATTGCAAAGAGAATTGAAAATGGTTGCTTCTAGAGTTGGGACTGGGGACTGAGAAGTGGTCAGGGTCAGTGGTGTCTCTATAAGGTTTTTCAAAATACTTGATCTTTTTTCACTAAGTATGCGTTTTGGTTAAAACAAAAACACTAGAATGGGGTCACTGCAAATACTGACTATGAGAAATACAGACTAGAGAATGGAGCCATCTTTTTGCATAAAAAGTAGTTACAAATGATTTCAAAAGAAGAACAGATTCCATTTTCAACAATAATTTCATACTTATGCCTTGACATTCCAAAGAAAGGGCTTTCCTGAGCAGAAGAGAAAGGTGAGCAGGCAGTATGCGGCAGCCTAACTTATATGTGCTTCGGCCCATGGGAGTGATGTTCATCATATATGTAAGACTGGGGACAAAAAGGTGACATCTGCTGCTCTCTTGTAAAATATTGTCATTCAAATTACATAGAAATCTGCATGGAGAATAGGTTGTCATTGCCATTTGGGGTGGCATTATTTAATTTGAAAAGAAGATACAATGCAATAACATTTTGGGAAGTCCCATAAATGTACCTAATCAGAGGATGAGTAGGTTTCAGGAAGACAGATTTGTGTCTTGTTCCATGGTAAGTTGGTGAAATACACATTTTCCAAGCTTACCTGATCAAGACTGCCTCCATATACTTCATCCGTGCTGACGTAAATGAATTTCTCTACTCTGGCTTCATGAGCTGCACTTACCAGAACGTGAGTGCCATACACATTAACATATGTAAACTCAAAAGCACGTACAAATGAAAGATCTAAAAAAAAGAGAGAGAAAGATAGAACAATTCCACCCAGGCACAAAACAAATATCAAAAAATAGACTTAGGTCTAAGGTAAGCGCTATTCATTTCTCTTCATTTACCACAACTGCAATAGTTGTAAAAATAACATAAAAACACATTACTATGTACAATTTCTTTAAGCCTAAATTACACAGTACTTTCTTAGAACTTAAAAACTATCGGTGCTAAATTTGTAGAAAACATTTTTTATTCTAAAAAAGAAAAAAAAGCGAGACATTACAAAATTTAAAATGTTTTTAAATTAAAAAAAATGTTTAGACTTCTAGTTTCTGCCAATAGAGGGCTCAGCTTTTCAGATCAACCTGTTATTGCTGAAAAGAACAATAAATGATGGATAAATTATTTTAAAATAAAATCTAGGAATCTCTCCCCAACATCAATTGACAAATAAAAAAGTCTCTGGCACAAAGCCACCACCTACTGCAGCACTATTACAAACAGCAAATATAGGTAATAAAACCTAACCACAGACCATCCACACAATGCAGTATACTATGAAAATAAAAAGGAATGAGGGATATCTCTGTATTCTATTATAGACTGATCTCCTATATATACTGTTACTTATAAAAAGCAATAGGGAGAAAGATATGTATAGCCGGCTACCATTTCTCTAAGAAGGGCAGTGGGTTATAGTTTTTTAAAGGAAAGATAAACTGTAAAGTAAAGCATATAAAGTTATCTACAAGTAAAAGAGGAGAATACAGTGGAAAGGACAGGGGTAAAAATTAGACTTTTCCAAACACACCTTGTTTGGTATAACTTTGGAAAACCATGTACATATTTTATATAACTGAAAAACAACTCAAAAAGGAAAAGAAGCAATTCCTAAATATCAAAAGCAAAAGAAGACAATTATCTGTGTGTTTACTTGGTTATATAACCATGCAGGGAGGAATTTACTTAATTAAATAAAACAAAATAATTTGGTCATATACTTAGTAGAAAACTACGTAAGGACAAAAACCCGCCTTAAAAGGGTTTTCATACTGCTATGGGTAATATTGGTATTGCTCTTCTCATACTACTGTGTGTATTATGGGATAAAGTAAATGAGCAATTATTATGGTGCTATCAGGAACCAAGGTTTTCAGGGTAAGGAAAAGGAGATATAAATGTAAGGTTGTTGAGGTTAAATAAGAACTCTGAATTTGAACTAGACATCTCAGTATAAATTCATGATAAACTTAATCTTCAGTAAATAGGCAAATAAACACAGATTCCCTAAATCTATCCACTGAAAAAGCCTAGAAACAAAGTCCAGTCAGCAGCAGATTGTGCCCAGATTGTGGCCAGATTTGGAGAACATGATTAACCAACTCAACCTAATGGATGTGTACAGAACAATGCACCCAACATTTGCAGATTACACATTCTTTTCAATACACATGAAACATTTACAGAAAGGAGCCATGCACTGACTCAAAAACCAGGTTTCTGTTCAAGAACTTAAATCATACTGTATGTTAACTAACCAATATAATTAAGCTAGAAATCAATGACAAAAAGATAATAAGAAAATCCATACATGTTTGGCAATTAAGATATATACTTCTAAGTAACCCATGGATTGACAAAGAAATCAAATTCTGAAAAATAAAAGATACTGAAAATAATGCACATGAAAACTTGTGGGATTCAGATAAAGCAGTACTTAGAAGTACATTTACATAAATCTACCTAAAAATTTAGGGTAAATTTATACCCTAAAATGTATAATTAGAGAAAAGTTGAAAATTAATAAGCTAAATATTTGTCACAAAAAAGGTAGAAAAAGGATTAGAAAATAAACCTAAACATGGTGAAGCCAAGAACTGAAATTCATTTTGTAGAAATGATACTGATATGGGGAAAAAAATCTGAATGTAAAAGGCAAAACAACAGCTTTTATGAAAATAATGTAAGAGAAAATGTCCATGACCTTGGAGGTAGGAAGAGTTCTTACACAGAACATGGGGAGTGCTAACCCTAAAGGGAAAGGTTGATAAATTGAACTCTATTGAAAAGAAGAACTTCAAATGATCAAAAGGCACATTGAGAAAGTGAAAAGGCAAACCACAGATTGAAAAAACGTAGCCAAAGGCTTGAGCCCAGAATATATAAAGGGCTTATAAAGATCTTGAAGTAAAAGATTAACAACCCACCAGAAAACAGTGGAGACCTAAACAGAAACTTTTCAAAGATAAGCCAATAAGAAAGGAGGGAGGATAGTCCGATAAACAAACACAAAGGTCGTTGACCTCATCAGTAATCAAGGAAAAATAAAAACCAGGAAAGACTGACCACTGGGTACAACTGCTTTATCATTAACCAAGTAGAAGGACTTGCTCCAAAAGATATGAAAGCCCTGTATTAGTCATCCCATATAATGTGTAAACAGCACAGGGACCGACACACAGACAAATGAAGAGTCAAGAAACAGATAACTCATGTAAGGATACTTGATATGACTGGGCTGTGAGAACTGGTGAACTTCTCCACAAGGGGTAAGTGGTCCAATTAGCATTCAAATAGAAGAAAATTAAATTGGATTCCTATCTCATACTATGTACAAAAATCAATTTTAGATGAATTAAAAATCTAAATGTGAAAGGAAAACTATAAAAGTCTTCAAAGATAATACAGGAGAATATCTTCATGACCTTGGGGCAAGAGAGAATTGCTAAGGCCCCCAAAAGCCATAACCATACCATAAAGGGAAAGATACATAAATTCAGCTATATGAAAATTGAGAACATCTGTTTATCAAAACACATAGAAAAAATATGAGAACATAAGCCAGAGTGGGAGAAGACATTTGTAATGGATATGACAAAGGACTGGTATCGAGAATATATATGTGTGTGTGCATATATACATACATATACATATAAAACTCCTACAAATCAATGAGAAAAAGTTAAGTAACCCAATTCAAAAATGGGCAAAAGGTTTCAACAGCAATTCACAGAAAAAGAACTGGCAATAAACATATAAAAGATACACAGATTAGTTAGCAATCAGGAAAATACAAATGAAAACCACAATGAGATACCACTACACACTATTTAGACAAACCAAAAAGGGAAAGATTGACAAAACTGAGCTACAGTTAAATCAGGAGCGACAGGAGGCCTCACATGCTCCTGGAGGAGTGGGAACTGGCTCACTTTCTTTGGGAGACAGCTGGACATTATGTTGAAATATACACGTCTATGGTCCCAGTTACATATTGAGGGAAATGTGTACTTGTGTCACCAGGGCACATTTGTAAGA